GGACTGGCCCCCTGGGGGGGGGGGGACGGGACATTGGAATGCTGGGAAGAGCCCACTAGACTTGAGAGGTAAAGCAGGAAGGGGGTTCCATCCTATGCTTGAGGGAGTAAGCTCCGATGTTGGGGTGGAGCTTCCCCACTCTGGGCAAGCTCTGGCACCCCTCTTTCTGGCCTGCTCCCAGCTCAGGCCTCTCCCTGCCCTACCCTGCCCCTGCACCTTGTCTTGCAGCTTCACCATGACCACCAAGGAGTCCCACTCCCGGCCCTTCAGCCTGCTCCCCTCGGAGCCCTGTGGCCAGCCCTGGGAAGGCCCCCACACGTGCCCCCGGCCCACGTGAGTGCCCTACCCCGTGGGCAGACGAGTGGCCTGAGCTGCTGCCTCGGCCCCACCCCTGGTCCTCCACGCCCATTCTGTCCTCGGAAACTTTAGTGTTTAGAGGCCACCCCTGGCTAGAACACTTGTGCACGTGTGGCCTGTGTGGGTGCGTGTGCACGGGTGTGTGTGTGTGCACGCGCGTGTATTGTACAGTGGTGGTTAGGTGGGGGGTGGGGAAGGAGCATCTACTTTATGCTCTCCCAGCCCAGAGTGCTAGGCAGTATGTCCCCCTCCCGGGTGCGGCACTGTGGGGGGCGCAGTAGGGGGGATTGAGAGCCTCCTCCGGGCCCCCCAGGGTTGTCTACCGGACCGTGTACCGCCAGGTGGTGAAGACGGACCAGCGCCGGCGCCTGCGGTGCTGCAGGGGCTTCTACGAGAGTGGCGGGGCCTGTGTCCGTGAGTCCAATGGGGGTTGGGGTGGGGCTCCCCTCTGCTCCTTTGGGTTTCTTCCTCCTACCCCAGCCTTGTCCCAGGGTCCCTGTCAGTTAGGCCAAAGCTGACCCCATGTTTCTCCCATCCACCCCTCATGTCCCTGAGGTGTCTCTGTGTCTCAGGGCTTAATTTCCAGGCATCTCTCTGTGTCTTCCAGTCCTATCTCTCGTTACTACCTGTCTCCGATTTGTCACCGTCTGGTCTCCTGCCCACCTCCTCCCAGCACTCCACACCCCCAGGCTGGAGCCTGCTTCTTCTCTCTTCCCTCTGCCCCCACCCTCGAAAACACTCCTTCCCAGCCTGCCCCCACCTTCTCGCTGACAGCATCCGTGCCCAGCCCCCACCCGTGCACACCCCCCATTTCCCTAAAATGGTGCTTATAAAATTTCACTATGGGCCAGCAGGTGGTGTGGAGGTTAAGGTGCTTGATCCTGGCAGCCTGGAAATCACACCAGACACATGTGTGCACGTGCCCAAAATCCCAAGAGGAGAATGGAAGGGAAGGGATTGTGGCATGGCCATCCCCCTGGGGGGTGACTTTTTATCTTCTCTCTCCATCTCTCTGGCAAGTGCATGGGCCCTATGATAAAAAAATAAATAAATAAATAAAAGGAAGAAAGAAAGAGAGAGAGAAAAAAAGAGAAAGAGAGGAAGAAAGAAAAAAAGAAAAGAAAAAGAAAATTTTGGTTGGGGAGCCAGGGACCCTGGGGGCTTGTCAAGTCTGGCCCCGAGTTGCTGCCCTTCAGCCCTTCTTCATCCTAGTGGCAGAATCGGTGCTTGGGACACTCCAGCTCCCAGTGCGGGAGGACAAGGTGATGGGGCGGGGTGGTGGCGTCTTCTCACCCACAATCCTCTCTGCCCAGCGGTCTGTGCCCAGGAGTGTGTCCATGGCCGCTGCGTGGCACCCAATCAGTGCCAGTGTGTGCCAGGCTGGCGGGGTGATGACTGCTCCAGTGGTGAGTGGCTGGTGACCCCAGGGAGTGGCTTCACTGCCTGGGCACAGGTGTCTGGGACCTGCCTTCTCCAGAGGTGGGGTAGGGAGGATGGATGCGTGGGGACTCAGAGACACAAACAGGGGCTAACCGAAGGGTGGGAGGGCTGGACCCCTGGTGACCCCCTCCACCCTGCTGTCCCACAGAGTGTGCCCCAAGAGTGTGGGGACCGCAGTGTGACAGGCCCTGTGACTGTGGCAACAGCAGCTCCTGTGATCCCAAGAGTGGGGTATGATCTTGCCCCCCCGGCCTGCAGCCCCCCAACTGCCTTTGGCCCTGCCCCCCTGGTCGCTATGGCCCTGCCTGCCAGTTCAGCTGCCAGTGCCATGGGGCACCCTGTGACCCTCAGACTGGAGCCTGTTTCTGCCCCCCAGAGAGAACCGGACCCAGGTGCGTACTTGGGGAACAGTGCACTAATGGGGCAGACACAGGGCCACACGACACACGCGGGGATACGAGGGGACTCGGGCGCTCTCACATGTGCGGCGGGCCCTGCACTTGCTGCCCAGTGACCTCCACAGTCAGTGGGGGTCGGGGAGCTTGTTCCCTGTGACGGGCGCAGTGCCGTCTGCCTAGGATGGCTCCTGTGGACACCCCAGACAGCCTGTGTATGCAAGTGTGAGATGAGGCTGGGTGGGTCCCCCTGTGGCAGGGCACTATGCAGGGACAGCTAGGAGCCTCGGGAGGGAGAAGGTGCACTAGGAGGGCAGGGAACCAGTGGAGACCTCCAGAATGTAGAGAAACTGCAATAGGCTGGGCCAGCGGGTGGCGTGGTGGTAGAGGGGGTGGATCCCGCATGTCTAACCCTGCGGTTCAAGTCCCAGACCCGGCCGCTGGAAAATCATGCCGGGCGCATGTGCATACATGCCCAGAATCCCAAGAGGAGAACAGAGAAGGGATTGTGGCACGGCCATGCCCCCGGAAGGTGGTCTCTCCCCCTCTGTTTCTGTCACTGGCGAGCACATGTGCCTTATAACAAAGAGTGATAGAAACAAAGCCAAAACGACTGCAGTAAGCACAGATGTCACCCGAGAGGGACCAGCCTGGGCGCAGCTGAGAAGGCAGGGTGAAGACACAGGAGCAGATATGCCACCTGTGGCTCGTCACTCTCCCCCACCTGCTAGTGCTGGGGTGGCCCTACAGTTCCAACCCTGAAACCTTTGCTGTCTGGCTCCTACAGCCCCAGCAAGGGAGGGCAGGTGTGGACCAAGGAGTTGGGAGGCAGGCTTCCCCCCAGGGGAGGGCCTGAGTGCAGGTGGCCAGCCCTTGGAGGCAAGGGGGGCAGCAGGTACTGCTCCGCTCTGTTCTGAGTGCACCCCCTCTGTCCAGCAGCTGTGAGGTGTCCTGTTCCCTGGGCACTGCTGGCTACTTGTGCCCCAGCACAGATCCTTGTCACAACGGGGGTATCTTCCAGGCTCAGGGCTCCTGCAGCTGCCCCCCTGGCTGGACGGTATGAAGGGCAGCGGAAGGCAGGGCGGGGGTCTGGGGAGAATTCCGTGGGTATGCTAAACAAGGGTCCAGGGAGGATGTGGATGTGAGGGGAGCTGTGTGGGCCCTGGAGAGGTTTGGCTCCCCGACTGTCCGGTGTCTATGGCCATGGGCAGGAGTTGGGTGTCTGAGGATTCAGTTGACCTTTACCCTCACAGGGCACTATCTGCTCCCTGCCCTGCCCAGAGGGCTTCTACGGACCCAACTGCTCCCATGAGTGTCACTGCCACAACGGCGGCCTGTGCGATCGATTCACGGGGCAGTGCCGCTGCGCCCCGGGCTACACTGGGGATCGGTGAGCTGCGGAGGCGCTGGCGGGAGCGGCGGTGGGGTGGGGGGTGGGGGT